CTGGTGAAAATTTCATGTCATTAGCACCTCTAGTAATATATTTACTGAGAAAAATGGTGATGTGTTCAATACTTATTTTACTCGCTGAATGTGTTAGAAAAGGTACAGGAAAGGAGGATGAGGTCGCCTGAGCTGAAACTCTCAAGAGTCGAGCCAGAACCGGAAGTGCCTCCACACACACGTTTAGAGGCAGCCGTAATAGTAACAAGCCTGGAAGAGAAAAAAACCACACAAAATCAAACCACTTTTTTTTAGATTCCTTTCTTTCTTTATTTTTAATTTTATCAAGATTGACGTAAAGTGATAACTCTCCCTAACATATGGTGTTAGACAGTAAGCTGCGGTAGTTGCTGTTTTCCCCTTTCGAGTGCTGTTTTTACACAGGATGTGGTGATAAAACTTACCCAATGTGTCTTTGCAATATTTCTTGCCGTAATGTGCTTGGGTTCTGCACAGTAGGGYTAAAACAAGAAAACTACTCATTCTATTTCTAGACTGATAAGATCACTGGTGATAAAAATATGAGGCATTCAGACGTAATTTTGTTTTGTACTGATACACAGAATGTCACATATTTATAGAGTTACTCCCTCTCAGTGTCTATGATGTCACTCTGTTCATAGTCTTTCAAAATAAGGCCTGATTTTGTCCTGAAATGAAGAGCCTCTCATGACGCTTGAAGAAGACCAAGAAGCTAATGCCCTTTCCATTCAGGGGTTGTATGCATTACTTAAGGAATATTGTCCACCGACCTWTCCTGGCAGTTTCGAAGCTCATCTTTTATGGAGAAATAATAGAGATGTGGCCATTTTGTTCAAACTTTCGAAAATAGAATTATGTGCAACATTGCAAGATGTCTTGCTCAAAGTATGTGTTGTAACTGACAACCAGCAGTTAGTTGGATTGACCCAAAAGTAAAACCAGTTGTGGTTTCATTACAATTCAGTTTTTCATGAAATATTTTGCTGATATACAAACAAGGTTGACTTTAACAGTTAATGTTTGAATTTTAAAGGAGACATGTCACGCTTTTAAAACCTTTTTCACATTAAAATCATTCGTTTGGGGGYTTATATAAAGTGGAACTGCAAGGTTTTGGTTTGAATTCCTCCTTATTGTAAAGGCTGGTTTATGCTTCGAGTTGCCCGTCTTGTTCCCCCTGCTGAGTGACAAAAAAAAATTGCATAACTTCCATATGTTCTCCCTCTGCTATCCCCCGATGATCGGCTGTTGTGTACACTGCCCCCCAGTCAGAACTCTGCGACGCGGACCTTGCGGCTCGGAGCGTGTGATTGGGCAGAACTTCATGAGTGTGTTTGTTCAAGAGGAGCAACGCAGCACTGAGGAGCAGAGCAGGACTTCCTTCYCCATGTTATTTTGTTGAAAATGATCTTTTCTCTGAAGCCGGTTGTTAAATTAGCTAGAAGAGCAGCTGGTTTGATCCTATTGAATGTGAGCATGCAGCTGATGTTCACGTCTTTTCCATCACCACCATTAACAAATAAATAAAAAATAAATAAGTAAATAAATAAATGAAAAATGTGTTTTTCCTTCGCTGACTCTTCACCCAACACAACACTGATCACTGAGTGAAAAAAAAAAAAACAATATCCAGCAATCCCTATCTGTTTATATGAGATGTGGGAGGAATTATGATCATTTATGCCCCACCGCACCTTCAGCCTGTTTATACTCATTCAGGAAAAAGATGTCTGAAATGACGTAATCACCAACCTGCTGTCTGAAGTTCTATTAAAGTACAAGGGCGTAACTTTCAGTCTAGTGTGTGTGTGTGTGTGTGTGTGTGTGTGTTGGGGGGGGCGGGGGTATGCTCCCTCTCTCTCTGCCTGTTTATTTATTGAATCATTTACTTGTGTAAAACGAATCGGGAGTTTTTTTCTAGCTTAAAATACATTATAATGGTTATATTGTGGTTTACTGAGCTTTCCTGTTTTCTTTGTATTTACTCTGTACCTTTAATGTTACACATCAATTCAAAAATTAAGGAAAGGCTTACCCCCGCCCCCAACCCCCTCATTTTTCCCAACAGTAACAAATATTTTACATTATAGGGTGTATTATACGGCATACCTTTCTCAATTTTCCAAAAATATGTATTTACCTGGTGCTGTGCACCTGCGTACTTAACCAGTTAGTTTCTATTGTGTTAGAGCCAATTCCATAATTTTATTGGAGGAGGGGGTTTATTGACTGGATCAAATTATTGTGGGGGTCATAAMCCCCCTAACCCCCTTGCAAATTATGCCCATGTTGAAGTATAAACCAAGCTTRACTCCACAAGCCCACCCTTTTTCTGAGGTGTTTCTCAGAACAACTYGTTTTGAGGCTGTCTCTTTAAATCCAAGCGAGGCGCTTCACACCCCGCCCCCTCCAGCTTCCAGAGTGGTCCATTCTAGTTTGATAGAGGGGTTTATGACTATATAGTGGCACAGTTTCTTTTTGTTTTAGGTATTTCAACACCAGTTAGGACTGCACAGGCCTGTATTACACATCAGCGCTCAATCTGGGAGGGAGCTGACAGACTGTGGACAGGCACAGGAACTGATAAATGGCCCAAAACTTTTGTCTTTATGTTGGCTTGAATTCATCAGCTATACTAAAAAAAATACTCATAGGTGAAACATTTCTGCTTCGCTTTCCTCAAGCAGGAAAGTCTCTTAAGTAAGGACAGTAGCTTCACTCTTTCACTTCCACAACAGTTTCAAAGTTTTTGTAAATTTGAAAGTAACATTTCGGTGCTGAGGACAAAGGAAGCGCAGCTGGGTTAATCTGAATATTTGATTCTGGCTTCAGTCTCACACTTTCTTTTGAGTAAACACAACAGACTTGATTTAAAAGAAGCAGCTGAGCCACGTAATGTTTGTACAAAATTGTTGCATTAAGCATTTAATTTATACAAACTGCAATTGACCTTTTTTTTGCAAGCAAACTTTGGTTTTCATCAATTTCATTATTTAGACTTTAAGAGACGTGTCTAACACAAGGCCCGCGGGCCAAACCGTGTGGCCCGTACAAGTGTTTTTTATTATTTTTTTACTTAGCATGAAATTTGTTTCTTTTTTCAATGGTAAACTTTACATTTATGATTAAATGCAACAAAACGCAGAGCCCGTCCGTGCCTTAAATAAAAATAAATTTAATAAATTCCTGTCCCTGAGCTGTTGGCTTGAAGTAACTGAGCAATTTAGTTGGATAGCACAGTATTAATGTCTAAAAATAAGCTGCTTAAAGTCAGCATCAACCATAAACTAAATATTCCTGTATTTATTTCAGGTTTAGTCAGTCATACACTTGGTTCTAATCAGTTTTTAAAAGAGGACGTGTTAAAACTCTGTTTAGTCAAAGTTAAACATGAAACGTCAAAGTTTATTACAAGTGGCCCTTCGAGGGCCACCATGACGCTCGTGTGGCCCTCTGTGAAAATGAGTTTGACACCCCCGYTATAAGATCATCATCGTGTTGTGAAATGAACAGAAAAGCTGAGGAGCTCAGGGCCAAAACGTTTAAAGTGTCCTTCACCTTCTTTATATTTGCCCTCCCCCCACCTGTCTCCAAGAAACAAACGTTAAGGTTTGTGCACATTCCAGGTGGAGGGAGGAGGGAGATGATGAAGGGTGGGTTGGGGGGTGAGGGGGGACGAGGAGGTGGTGGTGCTTTGAGTGGTCACACTTGGAAAATCATCCAAAACAAAAACTCTCCACTCGGTCACCTGAAAACAGTCCAGTTTCATGACTGAGCAGCAGGAATGTTCAGGTGGATTGTTTTCGTGTGAGGCAGCAGAGGCACCGACAGGGTGATCGATTCAGAGTTTTGTTCAGGAGTTTCCTGATGAGGAGGTGAGGATGAGGAGTGAGGATGAGGAAGTGAGGATCTGAATGGAATTCTGCTGATAAGACAAGAAGAACAGCAGAGCCTTTGTGGTGCGATCAGAGTGGGACACGATTCCCACACGGATCAGGAGTGGGTGCTGGGAGAAGGAAGAGGTGAACTCCAGYAGTAGAGACCCTTTGAAGCCCCCCACCCTCCCACTGAAGGAGGAGGAGGAAAAGGTGCAACAACTTGATTAATAACTCACTCTTAGTCAATAACTGAAGTTTTCAGTTGTCTTGTGTTCACATCCTTCCTTTGTGTGGTGGGGAAACTGTTGTTTTGACATTTTGTTGCCAGGTGTGGTTTAACGGATCCTACTTGATCAAAATGTATTATCCTACCACATTAGCAATGAATAATCAGGGGGATTTAAACCACTCTCAGGCTTTGAGGACCACAAATTTGGGTTTTAGCAGGCCTGGCCTTGATTTTAATAAGTTCTACTTGATGCGAGAGCACCTATTTTAAAAGCTGGAATGGGGGTTGGGAGGGAGGAGTGGTACTACAGTCAGACATGGTTAAAAATAGTGTTTTGATCAAAGTGCCCAAATTACAACAGCTCCTTTAAACTTGACTACATACACAGCAAATATGGTAAGATCAATAATACAGTGGTAAAATAAGTATTGAACACGTCAGCATTTTTCTCAGTAAATATATTAATAGAGGTGCTAATGACATGAAATTTTCACCAGATGT